TCTGCATTGAAATATTTTCTCCAAGTGTCTAACGAGTCGATTGAAATCCCATGATCATTTTATCTTCATCAAAAATCAAACTTCTTATAAACAAACCCCATATGCCAAATGTGGTGAATATCCAACTACTGCATTTAAGACATGTTTAAGATATTTTATCCCTTTGTGGGAGATCAGTTGTTAGCAAATATACAGACATACAAACTACTATAGATTTCACTTTCGATCTCTCTGACACTAATATAACAACATCCCTGGCGGTATCTGCACCAGGGTAAATTGTATTGGATTACATTAGTGCAGGTGTATGTTGTCACACATTTCATTTAATAGAGAAAAAACTCACAAAGCAATGTCACTGCACATCCTATTTTAGAATAACAGCTACTAGACCTGAAGATTTAAGCATCTCATGAGCCTGTTATCAAAAATGTTGCCATAAAGCTCCTCCTGCTTTTATGTACAAGTCACTGATGACTGAGAGTCCTTCAGATGCCACAGTGAAATCTGCGCAATGACATGCATGATTGGGGGCCTCAGAGGACTGATGGAAAAAATCCCCACGCATCAAGGCTGAATAATGCAGATTTCTCATAGAAAGAATCAGCTACTAAGAATAAGCAAGAGATAATGCAAGCAAATGAACCACCAGGAACTATTTAACCATAGTGAAAAATATAATGTGCAACAATAAACCAACTCAAAATGTACGACTCAGCTAGAATTGCTGTGCTACAACTAATCACTGTGCCTTCTGTCTCTGAAATAACCCAACCACTCTGATTAAGCAAGCAAACACACATTGCTACATCTATTTATTTAGCTTCAAAGTACCAACCCTAAAACTGAGGCTAAGCATAGTTTGTTTCTACAACGCAGCAATAAGCGCAGCTGTCTGTCTGTCTATATCCCTTTGTCAGCTGAACTGACAAAGACAAGTAAACCCCTGTTGATGAATAAATACTTAAATATGAACATACTTTTTATGGTCTTGTTTCATGTTAGGATTAGTGCCTTAACAAACCAAAATAAACCAAAGTGAACGGCTAGCCACCTAGCCTGACACATTCTCCAGACAGAAGACAACAAAGCCAACACATACCTTGGTCTAAGTTCTTTTTCCAAATGTGTCACCGTCCTTTTGTAACATGTGAAGTTAAATCCTGTGAGAAAAAATGACAAGCATTGAAAACGGGCAGTTATTTAAATATTAGATCAAACTGCAACTAGGCAGGCCTACACAGAAATCGCGGTGCTTGGACGTTACTGGTCAGGATTGTGAAACTGACAACACAGTCCCGAGCTGAGCCGAGAAGCACATCGAAGGCAATGGGCCCTGGACGGCTACCAGCTAAGCTAACTTAAAGGTTAGCTCCACTTCACTAATCAAATACCCGATTATACGCAGCCATTTTGACTCGCATAGGCATTCTATCGAATCTTAAACGATAATGCGTCCTGCCTGCTTTGTTTATATTTGACAAGACAGAAATGCCTCACTATTAACCCTCGACGAAGTTCCCATCCCTTCCTTCCGAGGAAACCACTGTTGTTTACCCAGCAGGTCGTCTGCTCGCTCGCTGACTACAGCTACAATATAGACGCTGCCATAAGTGCCACACGGGAGCGCCAGATCGCAGCCAGACATCGGCTACTTTACGACACTTTGCGACAGCTTGATTAATTCTCCTTTGCGAAACGTGAATATAGATATATCTTCTCTCCTCTTCTTATCTTCGTCTTGTTTTGTGTCAAGAAGTACTCACAGGAAACTGTGTATGGTTAAAGGTCGGCACTACTGAGAATAATCTAAGTCTATGCATCACTATTTTGCATGTGTCACTTTCCTAAATTCTCTATTTGAAATGCTTGAGCGCCCACCAGCGGATGAATTTGGACTCGCGGAAACAAAACTAGAGCCCACAATAAACCCCAAACTAGCCCTGCAAGATCCTAAGTAATTTATAATCACCAGTGGTGGAATAAGTAGGTTACTGAAACCTTTTCCATAAATAACAGCACAAGTAGGCTACAACGATGTAAAAGTAACCTACTCCATTAGTCAAGTCAAGTCAAGGTTTTTATTTGCCATTTATCCATAAACAGACAGTCTAGGCATATAGAAATTCTTGTGCAGCTCTCCTTTGGAGTCAGGTAAGGAGTCAAAAGCCAGAAAGAACACTTAGTCTTAAAATAAAAAAGTTAAATAAAGACAACAAAGCATTAAATCCACAATACACAAAAATAGGGTAATAGTATTTTCCCCAGTGAATTTCAAACATTGCACTTAGTAATTCACATGGTGGAATTGGATATGTCATTACACTTGGAGAGGTAGTGAGGGGTTCTAACATAATGAAACACAGTTTATATTCAAGATTGCTTCCATTGCTTGGTAGAGAATGTCCTGCTATTATTCCGGTCCCACAAGAGAACACTGTTGATGAAATGCTCTTACAAAAATACCTTGTGGAACATTTCTGTATTATTATTATTGCGCATGTCTAGTGAGGGGTTATTGCACATACTGTATATTCTCACATTTTTGTATTTGCCATCAGTCTTACTGTGGCAGGGAAAAAGCTGTTGTAAAGTCTAGTTCTGTGTGTGATGATACTGTCCACCCTGCTGTGCCTGAGTTTTTGTGTCTGAGCACAGAGTGAGCTGGGTGGCGTGGATCCCTGAGTATGTTCTCCACCATTTTATGACAGTGCTGTGTGTACAGTGTGTCCATAGCAGGCAGTTCAGTCCCAATTATCATCCAGTTTTTATGACCCTTTGAAGAGCCTTCCGCTCTGCCTGTGTGGTGTTACCATACCAGACTGTGATGCCAGTAGTGAGGATGCTCTCTACCAGTCCTCTATAAGCCTGGGTGAGAGGGCAACGGTTCAACCCAGCTTTTCTGAGCCGCCTCATGAAGTATAGCCGCTGCTGGGCTTTCTTCACTGTGGCAGGTGTTGTCCGTGAAGACGCTCAGCCTAGTGGTCCA